CATTTTCAAGACGCTCCTGATCATTTTTCGGTGAAAACAGCTCATATAATCATGTCAACTTTGTAAGATACAGTTTAATCGTAAAATAATTGTAAAATAAAGACATTAACAAGGTCTTCTTAAGCTGTTTTGTGTTGTTGTTTTTTTTAAAACGCCAAGAGAATCGGTATTTCTCCAACTTTTGTCCCTTCAGCCTGACAGAAATAAACGTGGATTTGGTCATATTTACTTTTTATTTGCAAAAATTAAAGGAGGGGAACAGATTTTTTCAGTAAGCTGAAATAATCTGTTCCCCTCCTTTAATTTTAGCAAATAAAGAGTAAATATGACCAAATCCACAGGATTAGTTGTTGATGGTGAGAGGAATAAACAGTTAAATACTTGCAGGTACAGATTAATCATCCATTCTCTCCTCCTCCCATATCTTTGGGAAATAAAGAGCAACTGTTTCCAATTTCTCTAAAATTGATATATGTTATACTAGAAATGTCCTTAATCCAGTCATATTTCATATTTTACATGCGAATTTGATTAAACAGATATTCTAATGTGTGCGTCCTGCTATCAGCCAGTTTCCATCCTCTTATATCAGCAATGAAAAATTAAAAATAAACCACGTGTTGGAAATCTGTTTGGTGACTGACGTTTATTTCTGTCAACACAAAACAGCCTAAGAAGACCTCGTTAATGTAATTATTTTACAAATTTTTACAAATTTGTAAAAAAAAAGCAACCGATTAAACTGTATGTTGCAAAGTTGACATGATTATATGAGCTGTTTTCACCAAAAAAATGATCAGAAGCGCCTTGAAAATGGTCAGATCTGCCTCTCTGGCTGCAATGCGCGCTCCCGACACAGGGAGAACAGATTTTACAAACCTGTTGACCTTACATTTTATGCAGGACGCAATGCAGAACACCTGAATTTACTTCACCTGCAGCTGCAATCAATAAATGAGATGCAACTGCAGACTTTAGTTCTCTGATTTCTGAAATCCACCTTTAGTTCATTTTTCTACCTACTTAAATTAAGAGAAAATATCCTAATCTTAAGAGAAACTGGCCTAATTGACAGGGCGAATTAATCTATAACACACGAGTTTCTAAATCTACTAAATTAAATTTTCAAAAAACAAACCCCCCAAAAAAGGTTTGGATGTTTAGATTTCATCGTTCTTGCATCAAACTGCAGGAAGTTCGGTTGGATCCAAGGTGAGATCAGGGTCCAGCAGCATCCAGGTAGGATCCTGGTGCCTCCAGATCTGGAGCCTCATCCGGGGAGCGGATTGGAAAGAACCGTCTGGTGTCGGTAAGTCCGAATGGAAGAGAGGAAGAAAACTTTCTCTGTCGGCACCAGAAAAAGCCAAACTATCCGCTGAGGTTTTTAAGTTTTCCTCTGAATGAGAAGAAAAGGCTGCAGCGCGCCCCCTGCCGGCGGAACTTACCGGCGCTTTCCGGTAGCTGAATTCCAGGCACGTGAAGACGGTGAGCGCAGAGCAGCCGAGCAGCAGCAGCAGGGTGACGATCCGGAGCCTGGCCTCCTGCTGCTTCATCTCCCGGCAGTGGTTGATGATGAGGAGGAGCGGATCCTCGGAGTTCATCTCCACCACCAGCTCCTTGCTCTCACTGTGACCCATGACGCTCCTCGCTCTGTCTGCTGAGCTGCTGCTCTGAAACATGTCTGGGATTCTCCTCATCCTTCCCCTGCATTTATGCGAAACACCAGCCGGGCAGAATTCCCCGATCCTGCGGTTGCATCACAATTTGTTTTCCCTTAACATCAGATAAGAAGAAAAAGGAGGAGCCATTGGGACAACATCCAACCCCAAGTGAGGAGGCATTGGAAGAGGATTAGAGCCAATGAAAAAAAATGTTAACAGATTTTTAAGTTTTATTTCAGTATAATATAAAGAAAAACAGTCAGACTTCTGACTTTAATCTCAGAATTCTAACTTTT